CTATCTTCTTCCCGGCCAAGGAGGCCGCCATCGTGAGCCTTGGTTATCTCGCTGTCCCACCGGAAGCCCCCGCAACCTCTGGTTGCGGGCACTTCCGCCTAGCGGCGGAAGCGGGTGGCTGAGCGTTTGGCCAAGTGGTCCGGGTGAAGACAGTTTTGGGGTCCCGTTAGGCGCTTCTGGCGGCGGCGAAAGCCTAACCGCCTTAGCGGGGAAAGGCCTCGCCGGCCGCCGGGAGTCCTTGCTTAGGCACCCGGCGAGTAGAGTGTCGTTTTTCACGGTGAGCAGCCTGGGGCGCCGGGCGCTAAAATAGAAGAAAGTGGCGCGGCCCCGCTGAGCCCGAATGCAACGGTCTTCCTGGGTGCAGGTTGAGTGCTCGGAGACCAGTCTCTCCCACCAAGGGACGCTGTTTTCACGGACAAGAGAGACTTCCAGCCACCGGTCCCACCAACTCGTTCACCCCTCTCTGGTACTGGGGTACCGAGGGAAGCAGGAAAACCCCTCATCTCTAACCCGAGGCCATTGATGAGCGGCACCTCCAAGGCTGTGTCTGAGAACGGTCTCTTTTTGGGCCAGGGCTGTCAATCCGGGATCTTTATCCTGACCTCACCTTCAGCCCCGGTCTTTTAGCTCCTCCTTGCCCGCCAGCTCTGAACTACTTGACTGTGAACTTAAACTTAGTCTAGCAGAAGAGTCCAACCGTTTGGTGTCTCTGGGCCACACATTAAATACATTGTGAGATGTAATCACACACACAAAAATCTCATGTTTTATGTAAGTTCGCGATTTTGTGTTGGGCCGCACTCACAGCCATCCTGGACTGCATGCAGCCCCCTGGGGCCACAAGTTGGACACCCCTGGTCTAAAGCAAGGCTGGTCTTTTCACCCATCCCCCAGGCTTGGGATGTGAGTATTTTGATTCCCTTGTCCCTCCAGCCTCCCAAATTCATCATCCCTTCTCCACACCCACTCTCAGTCAGATCTTTGCATCCTGAATATAGCAAAGAACAATGTGCCCCAGCAGACCCACCTGGGCAACAGGCCTTGAACCACTGCTGACCCCCCATTGGGCAAGTCACTTGTCTCCCTTCTCCAGGGACTTGTTATGATTAGGGCAGATCAGGGCCAGCTCTACTCCTGGTGAAGCAACTTCTGACAGCGGAGTATCAGTACTCTGGAGGTCTTTCAGTACGTGGAAGAATTTGCCTAATGTTAATGACCTCTGATAATCTACTTTTTTTTTATGACCCCAGAGTTCATCCTTAGGGAATATTTAAAATTCCATGCTTTCTAGAAACTTTGCTCAATGACCGTAGTGTTAGTATTGCACAGGCTAAAAGGCATTACTGTGTTCTGGGGCAGGTCCTAAAGTTTCTACGTCAATACCCTTTCCACAGTGTGATTTGTGAAGCTCCGTGGAGTTGATTTTGGAAGTAGTGGGTTAGAATCAAGCAGTGGGTAGCCCTCTCTCTGTGTCATCTATTTTCCTTCTTCATGAAATCGTAGAGAATCCTCAGGGAGGTGGAGCGGCAGAGGAGGTTTCCCTGACCAAAGCTGACCTTCTGGCTGTTGAAAGCTTCAGCTACACCCTTATGCTAGGAGGAGTTGTCAGGGACTGGATACAGGCATCTGGTGTACCACAGACAAGTAGTACCATGTGCTATGGTCAGTGCAACGACCCTGGGAGTGCTGGGTGCTGAGAGACCCACCTAGGTTGGGGTGGCTGATCAGTCACAGCTAGCTGTGGGAGCTCACAAAGGGTTAATAAGCTGGGAGAGTATTGTGAATGGATATTCCGTTTCAATAGATAGACCTTGCTGTAAATTTGAAGGCTTTGGAGCCCAAGAGCTTGAGGAGAGAACAGAAGTTTGTGTATGTGTGATCTCTAGTCAGGACTCTTGGTTGCAAGTGTCAGAAAATCCTCTTAGGCAACAAAACCAAAAAAGAAATGCACTGATTAGTTCACTTAATTGTTGAGTCAACCTATAGACAGTCCAGTTCTTAGTTGCTCTAAACAAAAAGAAAGGAGATTGCATCATTCATTAATTCATTCAATAAACTATGCTAGAATTAAAATGTGTGAATTTTTACCTCCTTTAGTAAGGAACAGGATTGGAAATGTCATTAGAATCACACTTTCCTCAGTTGGGGAAACCTAGTCAACCAAAGAAAGATGATTCTTGCCCTCGAAGGAACTTGTCAAGTCCTATCAGTTCTACCTCTGAAACAGTCCTCAAATCATTTCCCATCTTTCCACCCCCACTGCTACCGCCATAAGTCCAATGCTGTTCTGTTCCCTGGACCAGGAAGATGGCTCTTCCTGCTGTTTCTCAGCCCCTCCTGTCTGCCCATGAACCTTAAGCAACATGCTTGGGGTCCAGGACTCTGAGAACCCAAGCACTACAAATGAAAGGCAAAAAAAAATGGTATCTGTTTGAGGCGACAGGAGGAATTATCTCTATTGACAGTTTGTTTTGCCCTTCCAGGAAACATTCTGAGCTCATGCAAATTATGAAAATATGTAAAGTTTAAAAATGTGTTTTAACTTATTCATTTGGGAGAGAGAGAAACATTGATTTGTTGTTTCACTTATTTTTGCATTCATTGGTTGATTCTCATGTGTACACTGACTGAGGATCACACCTGCAACCTGGCTTATTGGGATTACTCTCTATCCAACTGAGATACTTGGCTGGGGCTACTTCACTTTTTTTTTCTTTTTTCTTTGTTGAGTTTAGCAAAAGAGAAGGGTGAGGAGAGAGAGAGAGACATTGATCAGTCACCTCCTGCACATGTCCCAACCAGGGCAGGTCCCTAGTTGATTGAACCCACAACCCAGGCACATGCCCCAACTGGGAATTGAACCCACAACCTTTTGGTGTATTGGACAATGCTCGCACCAACTGAGCTACCCAACCAGGGCTAACTTGTACTTAAAAACTTTTTATTATGGAAAATTTCATACTTATACAAAAATGACAAACTTACAAGAAAAGAGAAAATAGTACTATAATAAGCCCCCATAACCTAACTTATCAACATTAGCTATTTTAATGAAATCTATCCTGCCCACTTTGCTTGTTTAAAATTTAAAATGTAAATTATGAAATATTCCAAACTTACAGAAAATAATAAAATAGATGTTCAAGTTCCCACCATTCCAATTTAACAATGTGGTATTGTTTCGTGGCTTTATTTTGTTTCTTTAGATTTATTAAATTTATTTTTTAGAGAGGGGAAGGGAGGGAGAAAGAGAGGGAGAGAAACATCTACGTATGGTCACCTCTCAAACACCCCCTATGGGGGACCTGGCCTGCAACCCAGGCATGTGCCCTGACTGGGAATCGAACCGGTGACCCTTTGGTTTGCAGGTTGGTGCTCAATCCACTGAGTCACACCAGCCAGAGCTGTTTAGTGGTTTTAAAACATACACATATGTCGTCACACTGCACATAAGCATTTGTAATAATTTCCACTTAATAGATATTAACATGTCATATTTTTTCATATCCCCCCCACCTCTGCCATTTACACCATTGGTCCTGGAATCTTCATGCTATCACAAACACAAAAGGTTTCATACTACTTTAATAGCAAATTCCCAGTAGTTATTTGCTTTTTAAAAAATCTTGAGTTTACATTCTGTCCTAGTTTTTGTTTGTGTGTCTGTTTGTTTGTTTTAGAATAAGCACCTTCATTACATGAGCTAAGACAGGAGGGATGAGGATTTATTTGCATTTTGGGCCTTGGTTTTCCTCAGCTAGAGCTCCAGCTCCTTGCCCTCTAGCACATAACCATCTGCTTGGCCCCATCGGCTTGGTCTTCACGCGATGCACACAAGAAGCTTGCCCTGCTGGAACTGCTCCTCTAGAAACTGCTGATTTTGGCATTCTTTTCCTTTCATCATACTTCTGAGTTTCTTTGATCTTTTTTTGTTGAGAATCCCTTCCACCTAAGGAGTCAGCTTGGCTCCCTTCTTGAGGCCTGGTGCAGTGCCTAGTGGGACTCCTACCACTCTCAGTACGGTGTGCTGTCAATGAGCACGATGCAGTTCTTTGCTAGGGTCTTGGTATGGACCAGCTTGTTGTTGGATACTTGTAGACAACATCCATAATCCTTGTTTTGTGCACACCACACTCAAGCCCCAGGAGAAGCTGCCCACGTGCAGCCTCAAGGCTCAGTACCTCTCGTTGCCTCCCTGCACGCGGGCTATGTGGTATGCGGTCAAGGCCAATCTTAGTGTGGGCAGCAGGGCGCCCCAGCGCATATTTTTGCTTCTTGTGGGTAGGGCTTTCTCCTGCCCCTGGTCTTGCGGCGCTTGTGCCATTTGTTCTGAGAGATGCCCATGGCTTGGCGCCGGCTGGAAAGAGCCTATGTGCAGTTTCTTTTAAAACAACTTTATTGAAGTATAACTTGTCTCCAGCTTCCTGTATAGATTCTTAAGAATTAAAGGGGAATTTAAATTCCCTGTGGGTAATTTCCAAGAGCTAACTATGGGAAACTGGATCACTAATTTTTGTACAACCTAGTAAAGCTAATTTTACTTTAAAATACATATAAAATTGGTAGGTCTGAGTACAAAAATATATCACCATTTAAATGGAAGATTTGGTCTCTTCCCCTCACCCTTTTAACAAAATCAAGTCACAGATAAACGTACCTCTGCCGTTAACCTTATACATCGTCTTTTTTCCGCAAAGGTAATCGTTATCCTGAAGTTGGTATGTGTTATTCCCAAGTATCTTTTTGTACTTTTTCCATATGTGTATATGTTTCCACAAACACTATATGGTATTGTTTAGTGCCTTAAAGACATATATTAATATTGTCACACTGCATATAACCGTTTGTAATGATTTCCACTGATTTCCAAGTATTTTTTTATGCTCCCAAAATTCATTTTAAAATGAAAAACTAAGGTCCCCATGAAACGCGCGGCCTGGGCGGGGCCCAGAGTGGTGGGCGGAGTCTAGGATGGGAAACGGGAGGGGTCGTACGGGCGGTGGGCGGGGCTTGGGAGTCTCCGGGCTTGAAGGTGGACGCGCAGGTCCCACCTGGAAGCTGTCGTCATGGTAGCCCCGGTGGTGTACCTGGTGGCGGCGGCTCTGCTAGTCGGCCTTATCTTCTTCCTGACTCGCAGACGGGGCCAAGCGGCAGCAGGTAAGAGATGCCACCGCGCCAGGGCCTGTAGGGCCGCGTTCTCTGACTTCCTGAGCCTTGGTAGGCCGTGGAGCCGCGGCTCCTGCGCATGCGCCGGCATTGCTGGCGGCGCTGACGAGGATCTGGGCGCCTGGCTGAGCTCTAATGCTGGCGCTTACCCGCGAGAAGGGGGACTCACTGGGAGCTGGAGCAGCAGTGCTGGAACCCGCACATGGGATGGCTGCGTCCCTACACCTTCCTCCGGGTCCCAAAAGGCAGCCTCGCCCCATCCTTGTCCTTGCCCCCTGGCACTGCAGACCTACACACACCCAGAGGGGGCTAGGCCGTGGCTGACACACGCTGCTGTCTCTCAATGGGGCGATGCTCCTTTGAGCCCGTTGGAGAAGTCGCAGGAGTTTCCATCCGTCCCCGGCTGACTCCAGAGCCAAGAAGGGAGCACTAGAGTATTTTCTGCTTACCCACGAGCTGGAGAGAGCAGGAGGCAGCTCCAGGGAACTGCCTGAAGCTCTCTCCACTCAAGGGGACACCCATGCACCCTCCTCCCTGTTCTGCACTCTGATCAGAAGGCCATGTCATTCATCGGCCAGGGCATAGAACAGACACACCTGTCATTCCCCACCCCACCCCCTTTTCTTGTCAGCATATGGCTGTGTGTTTAATGCCTCTCCCCCTCTCTGGGCCCACAAGCCACTTCAGAGCACCTGCTTGCTCTCAGGGGAGGAGAGGGACACTGAGGTAAAGCAGATAGCCAGCAAATCTTCCTGGGAGGAAAAGACAGCCCATAGGTGACCTCTCTGGTTGTGATGCCAGATAAAACCATGGCAGATGATGTTAGGCAAGAAATAAATGCAGTCCTGCAGTGGGCATTTGAGTGAGGTCTGGAGTGGTCAGAGTGGGCTTCCTGGAGGAGGTAGAGCTTCAGCTCCATATTGCCCCATCAAGGTGGTAATCTGGTGGGCCAGCTGGAAAGGTGGGATCTTGAAGAGAAACATATCAACACAGGCAGGAGGGAAAGGGTGATCTTGCTGCATAGGACCAAGGTGTGGGTCTGGGTTGTAAAGGCCCCAGTGGTCTGAGAAGCTGGGATTTGTGCTGTGTCCATCAGGAGCCTGGAGGAAGTTGAGGAGGATGAGACTTGTAGGATGTTGCTGCCCTGCCATCAGGTGGGTCGGGCTGCTGTACAGCATTACGGTTTCTCTCTTCCCTACAGCCAGTGGAGAGCCACTGCACAATGAAGAGGCAGCAGGCCGAGCGGCCCAGCCTCGGCCCCTGGAGCCCGAGGATCAGAGGGCTGGGGGTAGACCCCGGCGCCGCAGGGACCTGGGCAGTCGCCTGCAGGCCCAGCGTCAAGCCCAGCGATTGGCTAGGTCTGAGGTGGATGAGAATGAGGAGGAGGTCATCATCCCAGGTGAGCAGGGCCACATCCTGGAGGGGAAGAGAACTGGCTTAGGGGGTGAGAGGACCCCAAAAGCTGGGTGGAAGAGTAGGGTGTGAAGCCACAGTGTGGGAGGGATGTCTGGGAGCCACAGGGTGAGGTATGGCCAGACTTGGGAACCAGCCTTTGGTCCTAGGGGCCAGAAGTTCTAGATCCTGACCCCTATTCCATTGGACCAACACCCTATTCCTTCATTTGGGTTCTCAATGTCGAAGCAGGAGGGCAGGGGTCTTTAAATTGACCAAAGGAGTTCCTCAGTTCAGTCATCATATCCCAGTACTCTTCCTGGTGTGGGCACACTCATTTCCTGAGGGCCTCACCCCAGGGCCAGAGTTCCTGGCTGAGAGTTCCTGCAGTCTGGAGTCCAGTTGCCATAACCCCAGAAGAAGAGTTTGAGGATAGAGATATCCTTTTGACAGAGGCCTCTATATCCCTGGTCCTGGGAGCCCAACAGAGCCCTTGGGATTATAGGAAAGAACATCTCTCCAGTGCTCCACAGCTGTCTTGAGCCTGAGGAGGCGACATTTAGGCCTTTTGTTCCTGTACCCTTGGAAATTAGCTCCTGTGGCTCAAAAAAGAGGCCCTCTGTTGCACCATCCCTCCTGGCTCAGACTTGAGTCTAACATCATTGCTTCTCAGGAATCAGAGGGTCTTTAACTTTCAGCGTTTTTGGCCCTGGGGCAATCCTGGGGTTTGGGCTGTCTTTGCCTTGGGTCTGGTGGGTCAAAGGGATAACCCTGGCTGGCGACTGAGTCCAGAACCCTTAGCAGTGAGGATGATTTGAGATTTGAGGTGGGTTGGGCGGGGGGTGTGGGGATAAATTTCCCCTAGGGCTATCCTTCCCTGGAGCTTTGGCTCAGAGACTGAAAGCTGAGAATTTAGCAAAGCCCAGACTGACCTGTCTGTGATTCACAGACATCCAGCTATTAGAACCTGGTGCCTTCTTCTGTGGCTATGCAGCATGTAAAGTTATCATCTCCTCCCTTGCTCCATGGACCCCTCACCCCACCACCACCTCTAACACACGTACACCTGGGGTTTGAATTTCTGCATTCATGGTTGATGCCTCTGGAGGGCAGAGCTGGGCTGATGATATTTGCAGGTGGGTCGAAGGGGAATCACCCATGAGGACAGGGACAAAGGGTAGGGTGGACCTATCATCATTGGTCCTGTCTAGCTAGGACCTGAAGTGTCTTTCTCTGACCACACTCAGCCCATGAGGAAGAAAGCGAGAAGCCAGCAGAAACTCACCTGTCAGGGAAAATTGGAACCAAGAAACTACGGAAGCTGGAGGAGAAACAAGCACGAAAAGCCCAGCGCGAGGCAAGCAGGAGGAGTGGGGAGCAGCTCGGGAAGTGGGAAAGGGTCCTGCCTTCCCTGTCCTGTATGGCAAACCCTCCGCTTGAGGCTCTTTGCATGCTGGGCTGGTGTTTGCTGCTTCCCTAGCTTTGTCTCCTGCAGCCTTGGTCGGGGCCTGGCCCAGGCATGCCTATTGGCTGTCCTGGCTTGTTTGGGAGCTGGGTAAGCTCTAGCTGGGGGTAGGGATGTGCCCCTATGAAGGCCTCTCTCCAGGCAGAGGAAGCTGAGCGTGAGGAGCGGAAGCGCCTTGAGTCTCAGCGTGAGGCAGAGTGGAAGAAGGAGGAGGAGCGGCTTCGACTGGAGGAGGAACAGAAGGTAAGGCTGGCCCTGGATCCTGACTTCTGACACCTGACTGGGCAGCCTTGTTTCCCATTTAGCTCCCCAACCCCTCCAACCCATAAGATGGGCCGCAGACCAGGTGCAGGGGCCAGCCCTGGTTTACTTGGTCCCTGGGCTCTCGGTGCAGCCTGCGTAAAGCTGCCACTGAAAAGCAGAGCCTGAGATGGGAGTCTTTATGCATGTGATGTATCAAACATACCTGGAGTACCTGAAGAACGTTGAGATGGTGAGAGTGGCCAGAGCGGGGATAGCAAGGAGAGGGGCCAAAGAGGTAACTGGGGTCTGGATCCTGAGGGCCTTGAGGCCATTACGGGCCATTGTGAGAGATGGTAGACTCTGCTGGAGCCTGGTTCTCTTTAGGGCCTGGCATAGAGGAGATGCTCAGGGATGGGGGCCACTGCAATAAAAGTGGTTAATGAGCATTTGTTTGCCAGATGCTTCCTTCTCTCTGAGAACCAGGTGCCCAAGAAAGGGATCATCACAAAGATGTGATGTGATCTAGGGCGAGAGCCAGGGCTACCCAGCTGGGAAGACCCCATAGCTTGGCATAGCTTGGTGCCTTTGGCTCTGGCTAGGCTCATTGTCCCGGGGCTGGATGGTGGAAGGCCTGCCTCTGGGTGCTGCAGCAGGTGCACCGGAACACAGCAGAGCGACGTATTAGCAGAGGGTTTTTCACCTCTCCCCTCACTCAGTTTCCCCTGTTATTAACATCTTATTTTTCTGTGGCATATTTCTCCCAACTAACATAGATGCATTATTACTAAGTAAACCCCACAAATTGTTCAGATTTTATTAGTTTCCCTCCAGTATCCTTCTTTTTTTAAATTAAATTTTTAAAAATCGATTTGAGAGAGAGAAACATCGGTTTGTTGTTCCACTTATTTATGCATTCACTGGTTGATGTCTGTATGTGCCCTGACTGGGGATTGAACCCACAACCTTGGTGTATTAGGATGACACTCCAGCCAACTTAGCTACCCAGCCAGAGCCCCAGTATCCTTTCTCTTTTCCAGGACACCACATTATACTTAGTTATTCTGTCTTCTCTGGTTCTTCTGGGTTGTGACCATTTCTCACACTTTCCTTGCTTTTGATAATCTTGCTAGTTTTGAGGAGCACTGGGAAGGTGTGTTTTGCTATGTATAATGTGCTCCCATGTATAATGCTCACCCACGTTTTCAGCCCAAACTTTCAGGGGAGAAAATCGCTCATTTTAATCTTTTAATTCAGTTATTTTATTTATTTATTTATTTATAGAAACAAAATCGATTATTATATTCCAGGGTATTATTTTGCATACGGATATTATTATTGCTTTCTACAGTTACATTTCTAACACATAATCATAAATAAAATAATGAAAAACATTTATATAGACACAGAATTAGTACTACCCATGTATAATGCACATCCTTACTTTTCCCTCAAAAATTCGGGCACAAAAGTACACTTATACGTGACAAAATACGGTCTTTTGTAGAATGTTTCTCAGTTTGTGTTTGGCTGGTGTTTTTCTCCTGGTGAGACTGGGTTGTTGATTTCTGGGAGGAAGACCACATGTGAAGTGCCATCCTCACCACAGCGTATCAGTGGTGCCTGTTACCAGCTCGACTCGTCCAATGTGATGTTAACCTAGACCACCTGGGTGTGTGCCCCTTTCTCCACCACAACGTTACTCCCGCTTCCCACACTTCTTCAGGAACCAGTCACTGCGCAGCCCACACTCCAGGGGTGGGGAGTTAGGCCCTTCCTCCTTGAGAGGAGAGCATCTCCAAAAGTATTTGGAATTCTTTTGTGCAGAAGATTTATCTTTTCTTTTCTATTTATATATTCAGTTATTTATTTTTACCCACATGGACTTATGACTATTTATTTTTTACTTTGTCTTATAATCCAGTACCGCTTTATTTGGTTGCTGAGATAGCTCCAGCTTCGGCCGTGAGGGGTGCCTTTAGCTGGCTCCTGTGTACCTGTGACATTTTCTCATTGTTTTCTCACTGTTGGCACTGCAAGATGCTCTGGCTCATCCTGTATATTCCCTGCCCCAGCTTGAGCTTCATGTTCATGTTTTAAAAATATCTTTCTGAGAGCTCTGGAAAATGGGTTAGGTTGGGGGAGGCTGTTGCACTAGGTGGTGGTGGAATGACATGGACGGGCTAAGAAGCTTTCTGGAAGTCAAAGAAGGAAGTGGTACATGGGGCCTCGTTTCTGACTGGGGCAGCTGGCCAGGTGGCTGTGTGACTCACTGAGCCAGGGACTCAGGAGGAGGACCAGACATATGGGGAGTAGATCACAAGGTCTTTCTGGAACATAATTCAATTCGAGGTGCCTGTGTGATGGCCCAGTGGGTGTGTCACGTGGGCAGTTGTGTGCCTGAGAGGAGAGATTCGGGCAGGGATACAGCTGTGGCGGTCGCTAGCAAGGAGATGGTCGTTGATGCCGTGGGCATGGAGATAGAGTGGAGGAGGGAGAAGGGATGGGTCTGAGTGATGGAGGAGGCGGAAAGAATGGCCCCAGGAGCTGGAGGAAGTTCAGGAGATGGTGGAGTCTGGAAGCCAAGGAATGAAGAGGGAGTGGTTAGCTCTGCCCAGTGCCACTAAGAGGACAGGGGTGTGAGGCCTGATGGTTGTCCCTTGGATTGGGCGGATCCAGGGCATGGGTGAGGCGGCAGCAGGGGTTGTTCCCGAGGAGCTGGGTCTGCAGGCTGGAGGGGGAATGGATGCGTGGTGAGGGAATGGGGCATGGGTATTTATTTGAACATGGGGGAGCGGGGGATGACTGGAGGATGCTGTGGGTGGGGTTATGGCTTCAAGGAGAGGGAGAGCATTTGTCTGGGAGGTGGTGGAATTGATGAGAAGTGGAGCCCCTGCCTTCTGTTCAGCTTGGGGGCCAGAGGGATGGGGTCTCACAGGAGCTCCGTCCCTGAGAAAGGGCTAAGCTGTATGACCTGGTGCCCTGCCGGGGCAGCAAGGACCAGAACAGGGACGGGGTGGGCACCTATGCCCAGATACCTGACTCTTGCCTACTCTGCGTCCACAGGAGGAGGAGGAGAGGAAAGCCCGGGAGGACCAGGCCCAGCGGGAGCACGAGGAGTACCTGAAACTGAAGGAGGCCTTCGTGGTGGAGGAGGAGGGTGTGGGCGAGACCATGACCGAGGAGCAGGTGGGCCTGCCACTCCTGCAAAATCCTCCCTGCCTCCACCAAGGCGGGCCCATGGCAGACCCAGGGCTGGCCACTGCATCCTGGGCACCCCGCTGCTCCTCGCCCGCTCCCCCAGTCAGGCCGTGAGAGATGGGTGGGCATGATGGCCAGCAGGCCCTCACCGTGAGAGGCCTTGTCTTTGGAAGAGGTGCCTCCAAAACCCTCACCGTGGGAGGCTGTGCTGCTTGCCAGGGCAGGTGGCACATGCAGGTGGTCGGGTGGCACAGAAGCAGGCACACAGGCAGGTGGCACTCAGCTGGGTAGGAGGGTAGGCACTGGCCGCTGCGGCCGTTGCAAGGGGCATGCTCACTCTGGTTTCTCTGCTCCTCTAGTCCCACAGCTTCCTGACAGAGTTCGTCAACTACATTAAGGTAAGAAGCCTGGTCCTGGCATCAGCTTCCTGCCGTGTGTGTGTGTGTGAGAGAGAGAGGGAGAGACAGAGAGAGAGAGAGAGAGAGAGAGAGAGAGAGAGAGTGAGTTCCCCTCAGGGCCTAGAGAGAGGAGACCCGAGTGGGGACTGCAGGAGTTTCACTCAGGGTCATCAGGAGTGGGCAGCAGGACCGAGAGCGGCGGAACTGCTAGGCTCCTGGCCAGGGGAGCCTTCTCTTGACCCTGACGGTGGAGAAGGGCCTGGGTCTGTGTGGGAGGTGTGAGCCTTTGATTCCTTCCTCACGCTCCGGGTGTGACAGTTCTCCTGTTCTTCAGACCCCACGCTCAGTGAGTCACTGTATTTTCAAGTTTCTTCACATGTGTTTCCTGTCAGTTCTGTCACACGGAAGCTCCGCTCGACTGAGGCCCCGCACGTGGCATCCCCTGCCGTGTGTTCCTGGCCTGCGTCTTGGGGAGTGAGGGGGAGACAGTGCTATTTCTTTGGGGATGGAGGGCGGGGTGGCAGGTGCGTCCCCTTCTGTCTGCTGGCTGCCCCGGCGCTGCTCCAGGTTGCATAAGTGTAAGCACTGTCCTGCTCCACCGTGCTGCTAAGCAACTTCCCATCTCCCACGAAGGATGCGAGAGGTTTGCAAGTGTAGCTCAGGGGTGCAGAGGCGGCTGAGGGAATGAGTACAGAGGTAGTGCGGGTGGGGGCGAAACTAGAGGTGCCAAGGAGCCAGGGCTTGCATAATCCTCATCCCACCTCCTGAAAGAGAGCAGGGTTTAGGTGCCTCCCAGCGACCAGGGGCTGGGCTCCCAGCCCGAGAGGAAGAAAGCTTCTTCAAGCTGTGCCCCTTCCCCGCCCCTCCCCGCCCCGGCCGGGGCCCATTCTCCAGCCTGGCGCATGGGAATGAGGGCCGCAGCCCAGGAAGGACCTCTCACATGTCCCTGCTGCCGTTTGGACCTTTCTGCCCCGATCCACCCAGTGGGCAGCAACATGGTCCTGTGCGTTTCCCCCAGGAAGCCCTCCTTTGTCAGCTTTAGCTCCCACTATCCTATACGGCCACCTAAGAAAAGGCCCCTTGCTTTCAGCGGCTCTGGGGGAGCCATTTTCTGGTGGTTCTCCAAAGTCTTCTGAACCTCAGAGGTCTTTCCACCCTGCCCTGTCTGATTTTCCCAGAGTTCTGTCTGCAGGGAGAAGGAGGGCTTTCAAAATTCAGCCTACCCACCTTCCTGGCTCCAAGGGGGTGGGCCCTTTTATTTTAGGATTTCAGAGCTGGTGCCCAGCATAGTTTATGGGAGGCGTAGGTCTGGCTTATTCTTGTTGGTCAGTCCACTCTCTGTTCTAATAAGGGCTAGGTTGGTTGTTTGGTTTTTCCAAGCACGCTTTTGGCCCCAGCACCCCTCAGAGTAGATCTAAAGGAACCACCTAGGGTGACTTCCTGCTCCCACTCCAAGCTGTCTCTGAGAACCCAGCACCTACTTTGTAGGTAGAGGCCAGCTGGCCAGGTCACCTTGGTCTCACCCGTTCCCTGGTCCAACTGCCACTCATTCGCCTCCCTGCCTGCACATTCTGTTTGGCATTTAGAACAGTCGCATGCCATCTCAGCCCAGGAGGTGTCACCATGTCACTCCTCCCCCAGCTCATTTGCTGTGAAAGAATAACATAAAAGACTGCCTTATTCCGAGCCGCATGCTCTCTGTAGGGGAGGCAGGGGCAGATGCAGGCGTAGGACCCAGCCTTGGGCCCTCCGCTGCACCCCCTGGATTGAAGTTTCTGCTGAGGGTTTGAGGGAAGCCCGTGGACGATGGCTGTGTGCGGAAAGCACTGAGAGTGTGAGCAACAGTTATTTTAAGAGTGGGCCCAGTGCCTCAGGTGGTGTGAAGACAATGGTGAAAAGGAGTGTGGAGATTTCCGGGTCCGGGGCAGTAAGCAAAAGCGAGGTGGGAATGAGCCACACTGCCTCTACGGAGACCCCTGCTCAGCGGGGCCTTTCATCCGCTCTCTGCGCATCCACACTCTTGCCTGCCTCCCCACCTGACCGCGAGCTGCAGCCAGGAGCTGTGTTTCCGTCACTGTTGTGTACCCCGCATATTCTCAGTGCATTGTCCTGGCAGGTCCTCAGCCAACACAAATGCTGGTGACAGTTTTTTAAAATAGCTTTTGATGACTGTCATCCCCTCCCTTCATCTTATGGTCCTTCCCCTTCCAGCCTGTCTGTGATGTTAAAAACACACCTGGCTACAGAGGGGAAGGTAGCAATTGTGCTCAACTCTTCCCATGTGTGTCTGTGTCAGTGTGGTCCCCAGTCCCGGATGGGGCCTGTGGTCTGGTGGTGGTAGTCGGATACCTCCCCACAAGTGGGGGAAGGAGAGTTTATGAGTGTGTGTGTCTCTGTATATGGGTGGTTGGCAGAGTGTATGAGGGGACCGAGGCTCTTCCGTAGGACTCTCTGGTGTTACCCAGCCCCCCAAAGCAGGTCAGATCAGAATGCAAACCTCAGTTTGTGCTGGGAGGGATCTGCCCACTCAGCCTCTCTCCTTTTCTCCCTGTCTTTGTAGCAGTCCAAGGTTGTGCTTTTGGAAGACCTGGCTTCCCAGGTGGGCCTGCGGACTCAGGTAAGCCCCGCAAAGTGGCCTTTTGTTTGGAGTGTGGCCATGGGGTCTACGAGGCTGTCAGAGGGGCCTGTGCTGAAGATGGAGAGTTTTAACGCTCCCTCCACCCTGCCCCGACCCAGGTGGGAGCAGAGAGTAGGACTCTGAGCATTCCCAGAATCTTGCCTTTGTGCTGGTTGGAAGAACAGGCAGGGGAGAAAAGAAAAAGTCCCATCTCTCCAGCAGCCCCTGTAACCAATACAGCCAAAATCTAGTTACCTTGACAACTCTTGCAAACAAGCTGTACCAGCCTTCATGGCCAAATGTCACTGCCACTCCTCTTCTGGTTGGAAAAGTGCCTCTCTCGGGGGTCTCGCAGGGCCCCAGGACCAGAGCTGCTTCTCCCCTTCTCCCCTCCGGATGAGAAGCACAGAGTCACGTTGGGTGGGGGAGCAGCCGTGGGAGCGGGGAGGAGGAGATTTGGCTGCAGTGGCATGGAGGTTGCACGTGCCTTTTCTGGGGATGGCAGCGCCTGTCTCTGCTCTGAGAATTGTTCTCCTCACAGGATGCCATAAACCGCATTCAGGACCTGCTGGCCGAGGGGACTCTGACAGGTGAGATGATGAGACTCAATCACTGCAGGCCTTGACCTTGGGGAGTGTCTAGCCACAGGGGGCTCCAGGGACTTGCTGCAGGGGCAGGGTGATAACTGAAGGTGGGAAGAACGCTGTGCAATGAGGGACACTGAGCAGGGGGACATAGTTAGAAGGAGGACATGCCAGGGCCTGGATGGCTCAGGGTGACCAGGATGGGCAAGAAAGCCTGATTTGACACCTAGCCAGGGTTGGATGCAGCCAGAAAAGGCCACGAACACCTGTAGGGCTCAGAGCCAGTTGTGAAGGGGTGGGAGGGCATTCTCAGGCCAGATGGGGAGGGCCTAGAAGTCTCAGCTCCACAACCTGTGTGTCCCCACAGGTGTGATTGACGACAGGGGCAAGTTCATCTACATTACCCCGGAGGAGCTGGCTGCTGTTGCTAACTTCATCCGGCAGCGGGGCCGGGTGTCCATCACTGAGCTTGCCCAGGCCAGCAATTCCCTCATCTCCTGGGGCCGGGAGCCCCCTGCCCAGGCCCCAGCCTGACCTAGCCCATCTCTCTTGGACTCAGAGCCGGGACAGCCTACCTGACCGTATATCTTTATTCCTGGCCACCATCCTAGGGCAGTGGTGGGGCGTGGCCAGGCAGTTCTCGATTAAAGGCCTGTGAGTACTGCTGAGCTTGGTGTGGCTTGGTGTGGCAGAAGGCCTGGCCTGGGATCCCAGGTGAGCAGGTGAAATCTAAGCCTTGAAATGTACCGTTGTGGGGGGCGGTCAGGGGGAGGGCGGAGTATCCTACCGAAGCAGATGGAAGTTTCCTTCTTATCAACTATTCATTCACTTATTAAAAAAAATACTGGGCATTTATTATGCTCCTTCCTACCCTGCAAGCCAGTCTCCCAAGGCCTGGAGAAGGTCTTTCTCCCCTTCCTTCCCTCTTCTCAGAATAAAAGTAAGGAACCTCTTAGGCCATGTCTCCCCTAACTGGAGTGGGAGGTCTCACCACTTTTTATATGGACTCCCGAGCCCTAAGGAAGGCTGAGAGCCCTTAGGGAGGGAGTTAATGAGCATGCCAAGGGAAGAGTCCTAGGGACCTTAGCCTTTAAGAGCCGGGGAAGGGAGGTCATGGAGGGCAAGAGGCTGGGCCAGATGCCTGTGGGTTAGATGAAAGGAAAGGGGGACCTGCTGGAGCCGGACGGAGTTATGCCGTGCAGGGGCATCGCTTCATACGGCACATCACATGAGTTCCGCTCTACATTTTTGACACAAAGTCTCAGTGGTGTGGGTGATTCCACCCACTAGTGGGTGCGAGGACCATATGCTCGGGAGTAGGTGTGAGATGGGAGATATGTGTCTGCTGTAGGGTCAGTCACTCTGGGTCCTGTGGGCTGTTCGTGGCATGAGCATACTGCTGTGCTGAGGGTGAGACATGTGCTTAACTATGTATACCTTAGGCAAGGTGACCCCTAGACATAAACCACCTACTTCTGATGCCTGGTGGTGGAGGCATCAGCTTTCTGTTCTGGCGCAGGAGGAAATTCTATGGGGATGGAGATGGTGAGACAGGAAGGACATCAGGCTCCAGGGCGGGGCCTTCCTGAGGGGTTGTCAAGGGTGATTTTCACTCATTTAGTGTCAGAGCATTAACTGGAGAACCTGGAGATTCCAGGTATGGTGCAACTTTGCTACTTCTGCCAGCAATAGGCACTTGGAGTCATCCAGAGCTAGGAAGGGCCACCTGCATTATCCGGAAGGCCATCTGGGAGCCCACAGTCTAGTGGGAGAGGGAAGGAACAGACGTAGATACCCACAGCCCGAGACAGAAACAGAAACTTCCAAGGGGAGAAGAGATGACTTACAGTGAGAGCAGTGGTTCTTGGCCATTTGCTCAATAGTGTCGCACGGGGGTTCGACAGCAGCCTCCCAGCAGACCGCACCTCAGACTTGCTCACGTGGACTCCTGGGGTGGAACCCAGCCAGGGAGCCTCACTGGGAGATTCAGTGTGCAGCCGAGGTTGAGAGCCAGTGAAGTGGTTGGAGGTGGGGTGCAGAGGCAGGCCATAAGGTTGCAAGTAATTAAAATCCCCACTGGAAGGGGTTTCTTACAGACCAAGACAGTGGCTCTGTGGGTCTCTTCTATCCCTTCCCTCAGCTGTCCTCAGCCACTTCCATCCAGGTAGCTAGATGGTTATGACAGCCCCATCAGGACACTGCCCACAGGCTAGGAGTGGGGGAAAGGCACGTGGATTCTTCACGTGCCCTAAGATTCTGCATGTCCCAGGGGCTTAGCATGGAGGCAAAAACCTAGAACCCTTTGTGCATTATTTAGTGATCCATCTACTAATCTAATAAATTTATCAAATGTGTAATTCCAATAGTAATGCATTAACATTTTCCTAAATGTGTACAAACCGTTTTTATAACTAATAAATGAAAACTTTCAGGTTTAACCACTTAACAATTTTTCAAGCATTTAAACATTAATTATTATTTAAATACCTGTAAGCATTTAAAATCCTCAATTTGATATATGAAATTATTTTAAATGCTTTTGTACCTTAAAAAAATAGACCACTTGGAGCATCATCCCATAACTGAAAGTTTGTGAGTTCAGTTCTGGTCTGGGCCCATACCTAGGTTGCGGGTTCAGTCCCGGGTCTGGGCACGGAAGCGTGTGACTCTTGGTCCAGACTCGCATGATCCCTGGCCCGGGTGCCAGTCCCTGGTCTGGGTGCCTACAGGAGGCAACCAGTCAGTGCTTCTCTCTCAGATGATGTTTCTCTCTCTCCCTCTCTCTAAAAGCAATGAAAAAAATTGCCCTGACTGGTGTGGCTCAGTTGGTTGGGCATTGTCCCACAAAAGTAAAGGTCACCCATAGGATTCCCAGTCAGAGCAAATGCCTGGGTTGCAGGTTTGGTCCCCAGCTGGGGCGTGTATGAAGAGCAACAGATAGATGTTCTGCCTCACACTGATGTTTCTCTCCCTCTCCTTCTCCCTCCCTTCCCCTCTCTCTAAAAATAAATAAATAAAAATCTTTTAAAATAAAAGATTTTTCTAAAAATCTTTTCTAAAATAAAGTCTTTTTAAAAAATGAAAAATAAAGGCAATGAAAAAATAAATGTCCTCAGGTGAGGATTAAGAAGGAAAAAAGGTAGATCAGGCCTACACAGTATTAAAATGGTTACATTACTGATCTGTACATACATAACACCAAAACTGATTCAATACCATGAACGTGAGTCAATACTTCAACACCATGGATTTACATTTGTTTATTCACTAGCTCTATTGTTATTTCTTCCTGAGAATATAGTTTTCACTTGTCCTGGAGCTCCAGGGTGATGCCCTCAGTGGCTGAAGATGTAGCTATACCTGAAGAACGGTGATTCAAAACTGGGGACCCAGGACTTCACTGTGATCCTGTCTGAGTCCTTGTCCACTTTGTGGCCCCTTTTTCACAGTTAGATTTTCCCCTGCATCAGAAGCTGTAGACCAGGGGTTCCCAACATCCGGGCCACAGACTGGTACTGGTCCATGGTCTGTTAGGAACCAGGCCACACAGCAGGAGGTGGGTGTGAATATAACATGCTTGAATCATCCAGAAACCATCTCCCGCCCTCCCCCACCATTCATGGAAAATTTCTCTTCCACAAAACTGGTCCCTGGTGCCAAAAAGGTTGGGGACCACTGCTCTAGACTGTTGACTACAGCCAGTCATGTAAGTTTTGATTTTTGTAATTCCCAAGTTATAAAATGCTTCCTATGCCTGCTTTGCGTGCCTGACCTTCACAGCCCAGCCCAACAGGTCTCCTGATAGCACTTGCCCCCGCAGAGTCCAGGCCAGCTCAGACCAGGTCTGTCACAGCCTCTCTTCTATGTGCCTTTGAGGCCTGTTATTGACAAGTCTGGTTGGAGAGCCATATAAGGCAACTTGTCTTTTCAAAAATGTTTATTTTCAAGGTTGGCCATGAGTTAAAAAGTTCTTAAAGCTGAGTAATGGCTACATGGAGGTTATTCTCATCTATTTTTGTTCGTTTAAAATTTCCCATAATAAAAAGCTTAAAATTAAAAACAATGAGCCCAAGATGGCCTCATGTATCTGACTCAGGCTGAGCCTCAGAAAAGGGGCCAATGCCCTGGCCAGTGAGGCTCAGTTGGTTGGAGCATCATCCCATAACCAAAGCATTGTGGTTTTGATTCCTGGTCAGGGCACAAACCTAGGTTGTGGGTTCAGTCTCTGGTATGAGAGGCAACCAATTTGATGCTTCCCTTGCATTGATATTTCTGTCCCTTCCTCTGCCTCTAAAAGCAGTGAAATCACACGAGACCACCAGCAGTCACTCCATTCACCCACCAATTGAGTAATTACCCCCAAGTGCCACAGTGGCACTGGTGCAGCATACATGTTTGACCTTTGTAATACAAAAATTATTTAAACATCTGGAATGTGTTTTTTAAAAAACTATGGAGAGCCTACTGAATGCAAGGCAGGATGCCAAGCATGCTGGGGAGCTACAGTGAGCAAAACATGGCCCCGTCCATAAGTGGGGAGGGGCAGTGGTATTACTCTAACAGGGAGACCACCAATCACCCAGCCAGCATCTGCACAGTCAAGTGCTGAGTATTCACAAGGCAAGGTTTTCCAGGTCAAGGAGAGGACAGGTTCAGAGGATGTACAGGCTGTTGGGTCACAGAGGGATGCAGTGTGTTGGTGGAAGAAAAGGAAAGGCTGGGGCAAAGAGATGGGGTGGAGAGGAGGTTGCAGTCTGGCCGGGCAGGGTGGCCAATGCGGAGGCCAGAGGTTTCGTCTGTATTTGGGGGGAGAGTTTATTGCTTTGAATTAGTAACTCATTTCTTAAACCACCATTGCAATCATCACATCCCACAAATCGTCATTACTGCATCTGTTCCTCCCTCCACACCCCTGCGTACTGCTGGCCAGCACCACCTCCGGCCTTCACAGGTGCGTGCCCCAGACACCTCCAGTCCCAAGTCCTGGCTCCAAGATCAGACACTTCTCCAATAAGGCTGTGTTTTTTAAACTTTTTTTTGACAGTATCTCTTAGAAAGAAATCCATTGTATGTCAAGGACTCAGTACGTATGTATGCCTAGATACAGATAATAAGCAAAGCTCTACAGCAGTCACTTGTCATAATTTGATGTATGTTGATATTTTCTTCTCTGTTCTGTCTCATTGCTCATGGTGGCTAAATTGATTTTATAACCTACTAACAGATCTCAACCTACAGTTTGAAAACGGTTCTGAGGAGCCTGTTCCTTTTATAAGTTAGGACAAGGCGAGGATCAGTAACTGTGTGAAGAGTTGTATATCATATATAACTTCATAGTTCCAGAGTTGTACTGAAAGCAACTTAGATTATAGTAGTGACATTGCAAAGTAGTTTTACCTGGTTTATTCTGATATACACAGTTTTCCACTAGTTAATACATTATTTAATTACTTGTTACAGCAAACTGCATAAGGGAACCTTATGAGAACATACAAAATGCAAATACTGTCATGTTAAACTTATTTAAATATAAACTTTTGCATATAATCTGCTAGATTTACTCTGACTGGTTTTAGTAATTTTCATTTTCTTATATGATTTTATAATTTGACTTACATTTCCAACATGATACAAAAGACACATTCATAATAATAACACCAAAACTAAA